TGTGGCTCGGATGCAGCACGGTGCTCTCCCAGGAAAGAGCAGCTCCCGTCGACTTCATTTTCCTTTTTTCCTTTAAAGCTGAAATGCATTGCAGCTCCTGCCCAGGAGCAGTATGTACAGGAGATACTACATTTACGAAACAAGACCCACTGGCCGCAGTTGCTGCTGTTTTGTGCCTCAGTTCTTCATTTCCACTCACTTCTCATCCTGCTCCTCTCTATGCAGATGCCTCATCCGGAAAGGGAAGACAAGTGTGTGGGTGTTATGATACATATATATATAGAGAGAGAGAGAGGAGTGTGATATGTATACGCTGGGGCCAGTAAGCAGTTATGTCTCAAGGAGGCAGACTTCACAGAGGGGTAAGTGAAATTCAGGCTTCCCAGCTGAAAAAGAAACCAATGCCATTCTGGTGGAGCAGCAGAGGTGGCTGACTTCGAATGCGCTGGCACAGGACAGTCCGAGGCCACGTGGGTCTTCTCCCAGCTGGGAGAGGGGATGCCCAGTGCAGGTCTCCCACCCGAGGCTTTGCCACCTCTGCAACATCAAGGCATCAGGGTCTAACCGGCTAGTGCTACAGAGCATCTGCTGAGGTCCCCTTCTCTTCACAGAGAGCAGTCCGACCCTCCTGAAGAGGACAGTGGCTGTGGGTATGGCCCCTCTCGCACATGAGGCGGGGGTGGTCTTGTGGCTGCAGCCATCGGCCCCGGTTGGCTTCAGCCACGCTGAAAAAAAAAAAATGGCCGGATTTGCCAGGAAGACATCAAGGAAGACAACAAAAGGCCATTTTTGGCAAACATTTTCTTCCGCCAGACGTAACGCTTCGGGCGTGTGGGGGAGGAGGCAGTTTCCTCCACAGGATGGGACAGGGGTACTTGGCATTATGGGGTACGGGAGCTCAGGTGCCCCACGTGGCGAGAGCCCTGGTTTGGTTCGTGAGAGCCACATCTTTCACAGAAAGAACAGCATTTCCTGCCACGGTGACTGCCTACACCAAGAGCAGGTGACTTTGCCAGGAGGGGGGACTTACGGAGGAATGGTTTCTCCTCCTAAAGCCCCAGGAGCAAAAAAGGGCAGATGCGCGCACACACGCAGGGGAACTTTTCTCTTGGCCCAAGGGGACAGGGAAGCCCCCAGGGTGCCGCTGCAGTGCAGGCTCCTTGCCTTGTCCAAGCTCACGCCGGGAAGTAGTGCAAGCTGTGGGGAAGTTCGTGGCACATGGTGGTTAATTGCATGTCCCTGCTGTGTGGCGTGGCTGCAAACTGGGCTGGGCTGCTTGGCTGAACCATCCAGGGGCCGTGAACCCAACTTGTGGAGCTTCCCCTTACCCCTTTTCTAGAGTCATTACTTTGGTCATGTTGAAGTCTTCAGAGACTGGATTCAGCCACCAGGCAACTGGGGCATGAGGGGACCCGCCTTGTCAGAGGTGGCAGCACGGACACCAGGCAGGAGCACGACTCTGGTAAGCTGAACCATACGAGGACCATCTTTGCTACTGACAAAGTCAGGGCTTTCAGGTGTCCTCCTTCTATCCCCTCCTTCAGTTCCTGGAGACAAACCAAATTGCTTCTGTCTTGACTGCAAGTACGCTGAATATTCAGTCTCTCCAAGATGGAGCAACGCTCCCAAAAGGTGAACCGCCCCCTCCTGAGAAAACAGTAAGATGGAGGCAAGGAGATGCTGAGGCTATAGCCAGTCTTTGAGTTGGGCCTCCCAACAGCCCAGCTAACCCCTCCGGAGGTGGACCTGGCTTTGTCTGCTTTGGAAGAGGGAGGAGCTAGCTCAGCGCACCTTGGGAAAAGACCTTCACCGTGGCACCGTGTCTGAGGAGGAAAACCACAGTCTGTTTTGGAAAACATATACATTTACTTCCAAAGAGATTGTCCCACGACAAAAAGCCCCCTGGGAACTCGTCCCTGTGTGGAGGGCAGAGGAAGCCTATGGTACTTTGAGTGACTGAAAAAGAAATGACAACAAAAAAGTAATGGCCCAAAAGACAGCAACTGATGGAAGCAAAAGAAGTCCGAGAGGAACATCCACTATGTACAGCAAGCGCAGGGACCCTCCATCCATCGGAGTGATGAGGTGCATTCCCACAGGCGCTGGAGAAAGCCTCGAACCTTCCCGTCCCCGCTGGCTGGGTGCTCTGCAGAGCTCAGCCACCACGCCGGAGCAAGACACTGAAACAAATGAAACAAGAACGACAAAACCCACTCCGTTCCTTAGCGTTCCTGGTGTGTCTCTGCTTTCTCTCTGTGTGTCCTCCCGGGCGCCTTTGCTTCTTTAGTCTATGGTTCCCGGGTGGATGCTGAGGACTGGCGGCTCTAGGCAAGTGGGAGAGTAGTTGAGGTGAGGCTCTTTGATCCACAGTAAGGGGACCCCATTCTTGCCCTCCGAGTTCTTGCTGGAGTTTCGGCTCTTGAACCGCACCAGGAGGATGGTGATGATCAAGATGCCGAAGATAGGGAAGGGGTAGAAGAACACGAAGTAGAAGAGGGCGTCGTTGGAGCAGATGACAGACTGCAGGGTGGAGCCTGGAAAGAGACATAGGACGGTCATATTCCACAGCTTCTCTGCAACGCATGGCCTACAAACGTCTTCAGAAACATAAAAACCAGACGCTCATTAATCTGTGTCAATCCAGGAAGTGAGGCTCTATGAAAACCACCAATACTAGTAAACAGAGCAGCAGAAAAAAGCTATTGCAGGGTATGTTTTGGCTTTATTTCCCCCAAGAGTTTCTTGAATACTAGAGAGTCCTCCCTGGTGTGGATTTTCTTTATCTTATAAGGCAGGGAGACTTGCAAAGCATTGTTTCCCTCAGTGGTGGTACATAGAGGCAGCACCCCAGGGTATCTCCCTTAAGGGCCCCCAAAACGGTCATGACCTCAGCTGTCTGGGAAGTCTCTAGACCATCTGATGGCTTCAAGAAGTTACTGGGAGAAGACCCTTGTGTCACAGCACGTAGCCTTGTGCAGAGCTACGCCAACTTCCAGGGTGTTTCCCAAAGGGAAAGGCTACACCCCAGTGGAGGTCAATGTCTGCCCCCACTGGCCTGGGACACACCAGGAAGTGAGCACTGTGGGATGGGCAGCCCTAGCACAGAGCTAAGCGCAGTGCACATGTGCAAGCCCAGCCAAGAGCTGGGCTACAAGCCACCGAGCTGACTGGAAATGCACCGGCACTGCACACTTGGCTCGGTGCAGGCAAGACCCAGTCCCACTCACTCCTTGGCCTTTTTACCTTGGTTGAACCAAAGACGCAGGGGATGCCAGGGTCATGCCCCCAAGAGAGTCATCACCTCTTCTCACCTGCATCCTGCACATGAACGGCGACCGTCCCCGACTCCTCCTCCGCCAGCCGGTACCACACGCCATTGGGGTCTGCCAGCCACTCCTCCACACGGCACGAGTAGTTGCCTGTGTCGGCACCACCGGCTT